GTAAAACTTTTAAAAAGTATCTAATTCATCCACGATAGTTATACGCTTTCCTTGATGTCTTTACCATATGGATAGCATGCATCTGGTATACGGTGAGGGGCGGAAGTAACACAGTCGGTTGCTGCATCAGAGCATTTTTGTGTACAGTAGTTGTCCTCCTAAAATATACTTGAAAAAATGTACTTCTGCTAAATGTGTGCTTCTTAAAATCTGTTATGGAGAACAAGCAAATGTCCTTAAGAATATTAAAGAAAAAAGAACAGATCCTTTCATCACATGTAGCAGCTTCAGGTGTGTCAGCTCCTGGTGCAGAGAGGTGACAGGTGACTCTGGCTTGATTACTGATTTGAGGCACCAACTGACAGTATGCTGCGTTTAAGTAACATGCTAAATGCTAAAAGTGTTCATGATGAATCCTTCAATCTGCGTCCAGTGGAGGAATGTCTACTTTCAGAGGGGTCTTTGTACTTTTTGAGACTACTCTGATTCTCTGTTACAGTGGGGACTGCAGACTCAGAGGCAGCTGTGGGACACGGAGGCCAATCAGACCGGCTCACTGGGACAACCTTCAGACCGGTGAGTACAGTAACTTATTGTACTCATTGAACAGATGTGTGTTAGCAGCCGCCGTGTTGCTTTGCAAAAGAGTGTTTGTGTGGACTCAGCTGAGTGTGAAGTTACTTGATGCTGTGTGACTGTGGCTACATTGTTGTTGTCTGCTTTGTTGATGTTTTTATTCTGCTGCAGTCTCATTTGTTATTGATGTTCAATAATACTGCTTGCCCTGTGGTGTGTTCATGGCTGTTTTTATGTATTGCTGATAATTTTATCTTTTATAATTTATTATTGTTGACTCTAGAACCTTATTGTATTTGTCTGAATGAGAGTCAGTTGTATGATGGCTGCAAATGTCTATAGAGGGACGTTGTTGTTGGGTTACTGTTGTCAACAGATGAGAGTGCTCACAACTATTTGCATTTGTGTGTGGCTTAATTAGTTTCTCTTTTTGCATATGTGTTTTCTATTATGCACGATCTCTGTGTTGCCTGCTGATGTTTTATTCTGCTGTTGACTATATAAGTGTCATATTTAATGAATGTGGCTTGACAATGCTTGTAGCACCCGCCGTGGTGTCCGTAGCGCTTTCATTTGTCTGTCAGGTGTTTTTGTTTATCACATGTATGCACAGGTTGTAAATATATAATTGGTTGTTAGTTTGTGGTGGGATGCTATTCCTCATATTGACATTCAATGCAATTTACTTTTCACCCTAAACATTAATATAATGTATTCAGAAAACATTTGAACTGATATTGTAGCACTCTTTCCATTCTTGATAATGAATTATCATAATTCTGTGTGCTCAAAACTGTTTGGTTTTGTAGCATTTTGTTATCCAAACAGAGCAGTTAGTCTGAGGATCCAAAATATCTGACAAAGCTTTGTTTTATTTTGGTCTTCACGGTGCTTTTATAACAAAAATCTGTCCCATTTACCAGATCTAATCCTGAGGGAGTTTCTATTATATCTTCTCTGCTTATGTAGCTATTATCTTTTTGCTGGAAATTTGTCCACAGTCGCTTCAAATACATGAGTTTGTTTACCACATATACTGTAAATCAGGACCAGGAGGGCCCATACAATGCATGCAGAGCTCCTCTGGGAGCAGAGACACTGTGTCTTTTGAAGTCTCTCTCCATGCTGTGGCTCGCCTGTTCAAATCCTCTGGGGACGGCAGAGCTTCCAGGCTGCCCTTACAAGTGCAGTTGCAGTGGTAGCAGCACAAATGGCGGTGTGCAAAAGTGGGCGAGTGTTTGCCTAAAGGAGAGTGGAAGGTCAGTGGTTCAAATTCCAAGATCCATTGGGGAAAAACTGAAGGACTAACAGTTTCTGCTTCTTGCTTAAGAAGGTGCCCTTGAGGCAAAACAAAAAAGGCCTGAGCTCTTTAAGCTGCCAGACCGTCACAGCTCTCAAGTGTGAATATAGTGTTGCTATGTCATTGTATTTCAACCTAGGTGGTGTAGAGAAAACAACACACAAGCTCAGCAATCCTTCCCCTGGCAAAGGTTTGGCTTTATATAATAGTTCTCAACCTTTGCATTACATTTTGGCCGAACAGCAAAATCCCAAGGGACATTAAGTTACTGTATCGATTTTTTTAAATGTCATACAAAGTCTTGCATGTGAACACGAAAGGGTCAGTAAGCACATTTCACTGTAGCTCAAATTGGATTCAGTTGGTAGAAAAGGTTAGAATTTAGGGCCAGCGCAATTGTATTTTTGCATTTAAAAGGATGGGTTGTTTTACAATCTGAAGGCATACCTCTTTTTAGACAAGGAATTCATTATCTCATGTCAAGGGAACAACGTGTCACTTAAGAACAGATCTGTGGCATATTGTATATAGAAAGTAGTCTCAGAGGCAAGTCTTCAGAAGATAATTGCTCTCTATGGACCAAACATCAAGAAATGACACAATTCGTGCTGGGCTTGGTATAGTTAGAGAAGCGCAGATGGCCTAATATTGTGACTCCTGATTTATACAATACAGCATCATCGGGGGGTAGCCAAGAAAAGTGCCAATATTACTTTTTGTACTGCACCTCATTGAGTGACTACTTTCTTCTCCACTAATGACAGGTATCAAAGCTTTGAAACAAACAGTCCAGTCTTGTATGAACACTGAATTACTAACGCTTCCATCGTTAGGGGAAGGTGACCTGACATTTGTTCTTGGGTCTTTTTACCTCAGTAGAGTAGTTCACTTGATAAACTGAACCTCGTCTTCTCTAGTGAACTGCACTCGCTGAGGTGTGACATTAGCATTTGTCTGCATGATTCATCATGTGGAAGTACAGATGCTCTTGAGTGATTCAATGCCTCTCTTCTTTTGTAGTTAAAGTATGGTAATACAAAGCCTAATTACATCAACTCCTGTGAAGTGATGATTAGAGCGCACTTTGCGAGATGAATCTACGAAATCTAGTCCATTGTTAAACATCTGAGAGTAGTTTTTGTGAATGGAGCGTAGTTTCTATGTGGGATGTGAGAATTGCTTGAATTTCCTTTTGTTCGTTTGTCCCCCAGAAAGAAAACGAACACGTCTGCTGGCATTTAACCCCGCCCTGCTTTATGAGATTGACTCCTGACATTCTCACACCGTAAAAAAAATTGCACACTTTAATGTGAAAAGGAACAACGTTTATTTTTGACCTTCTCATAGACTTATCTCAGACGACAGTGATGCAAGCTCTCATATCCTGTTTTCCATCAAAATGTCCACAGAGACGGAACAATACAACACCATGGCCATACAGTTAAAAATTGAAACATTAAATTAAGCACTACATATTCGTATCGGATACAATGAAATCATACAGTTCAATTAATTTCCCGAGGAAACACAGATTTAAAGAATACTCTTCATACTTTTTATGTGTACCAGGTATTGAAACAAAGCAACATTTAGAAATACAACCAAAGCTTTGTATTAACACTGAGGAGCGCCTTTTGTTGCCTCTGTTCAACATAATTATATATATAACACTTTTGAATCATAGTACGTCGTATCAACAATATCCCCTTCTGTTATAGGGGTCTAACAATGGCTGAATATCATGTGTCCCTTTTTGAAGTAGCCAGCCAATGAGTGAAGAGTGACCCTACTGATATCATTGATGTGCGGCAGGTCTGAGAACAGCCGCCTGTGCATGGCTCTGTCAATAAAGTGAGGTATAAGTCAACCTTTTTAAAGAATAATCTGCATGTAGATGTAATCATAAGACCTCAGTGTAAACATGACATGTAAAATGTCATATTTAGATAATGGGAAGACACTATTAAAACAAATTAAAAATTATTGAAGCTGGCACACTCATGTCCTATTAAACAGGAATATGTTTGATAGAAAAGTGAGAAAGACCCAATGTGCATTTTACCCCTCAGCTCAACTTGCAGAGCCTAATGGCTTGAATTGTCTGGCAACACAATTAATCAAACAGAACACAACACTGTCCAAATATAATTGCACCAAAATGAATAAAGTAGGAACAATGTGCAAAAACAAGGTCTACATTTAAGGGAATCATCCATTTAATATTAGCATACTTCTATTTCTTCTTCTGTCATTTTTAAAAATATGTTTTGAACTTATGTAAAACTTATGTAAAGACATCTTGACAGTAATGGCTACTTTGGTTCCTTTATAATAAACAAGGAAAAGATAAGGGGAGATTTGCGACACATTTACAAAATATACATCTGTCCCTTTGCTCTGTCTGCAGCCATGATTGATTAAAGTTAGGGTAGTGTGTGTGTGTGTGTGTGCACTATTTCATTTTGTGTATGCAGTGTTAATGTGTGTTCTTTCTGGAGTTTTCAAAGTGCTATATCTGATAAGGTGATGTTAAAAAGGAAATGTAGGAATTGATTTGTGGCTTGTATCCTAGTTGCCATGGTACAAATGCACCCATCGTGGCCCAAAGTGCCTTACGGAGCATCCACACAGCAGCGTTAAAAAAATCTTGGAGGTGGGCGTATCTGAAGCTTGGGGATTTTTTGCGAGCAACGCGACCAACAACCAATCACATGAATCTCCCGCCCCCGACATACGAAGCAAAAAAGCCCGAAGTAAACTGGATATAAACTCCCCAAACAGGCGTAAACCTACCACCGTCTCTGCCACCTCCCTCCATGCCTGGCTCCTCCGGTTTGTATCCCGGTAGGTAAATAGGGACTGGTCATAAAGCACCGGGTGATTCCCTACCGCTATAATTAATTTCTCCTCCATTTTTTGGAATATGAGGAAATGACCTGCGGTATGTCTCTCCCAGCATACACGCGGTTTGATTGGCTAGCGCTTGAACTGTCAGATTTGCATAAACGGGATTTGATTGGCTGACGCTTCTACCTCAGCTTCAAAAGTTGAACATTGCTCAACTTTGAATCCTGAAAATCCTGAAAATCTCCGCTCTGCTTCCCACAATGCAGTTCGGCGAAAAGTGAGGCAAAGTGACGTCACCCCATTCAAAGTGAATGGGCAGAAGCGTTAGAAGATTTTTTTAACGCTGCTGTGTGGACGCTCCGTTAGAGTAAGAATTCCTGGCTCAGCTCCGTCCTTTTCCTGGTCCTCCTGGATCGACTGCTGCTCCCTATCAATCCGTCTTGAGTCAAACAATACATGAACCAGAGCTATATTTGCTATAAGAAATCAACTGAAAATCACACGAGAAGCTTGATAAGACATCACTCCAGACATCTCTTCTTCACATACTAAAGCTGCACTAGGTCATTTTGCACAACTGGTCTTTGAATTATTTGGATAGAGAGAGTGATTTTAAATGTTTTTTGTATTACCTCTAGGTGCAAACATGTAATATAACTAGAGCAAATCTGATTTGAAAACATGGGATACTCTTCTGTTCTCTATCCAAAGATGATCATTTCCACAAGTCCTACCCAATGCAGCTTTAACAAAATAACCGTCCAGTTCATTCGTATTTATTCTCGCCAGTCCGTAGATTTCAGTTGTCGAGCTCCAGCCCCTCGAGGTGGTCCGGGATGGGTAGGCCGGACAGAATCGTCAGACACTTATTCCACACGTTGAACACGGGGCACACGGGCTGCACGAAGGACACGTGGAATGTGTGCAGGTGCTGGGAGCCCACGGCGTCGTAGAAGCTCACGGAGCCGGCGTCGTAGTCCAACAGGATCCCGACGCGCCGCAGGTGGGGCGAGGGCTCGATGGCCAGCTCCTTGCTGTTGTGGCGAACCACCCAGGAGTTGTTGCAGCGGCAGAGCACCCAGGAGGCCGAGTTCTTGCCGATCCACTCGTGCTTTGGAGCTGATTTGTAGGCAATACCCACAGCGTACCTGAGAGGGAAGGGGATATTCTGTGAAGCTTTACTCAAACAACCCCACAAACTCTGATTTAGAATCGTTTGGATCTGTTAAACTCACCATGTGCTCCCTCCGATCAAAGCCTCCCAGTAGTGGCGGCCGCTGTCGATGTAGACGTTCCCCACCACGCCGTAGCTGTTCTGGCTGGTGAAGCGCTCCTGGCTGTGGCCCTTCTTGGACGTGGTTTCGTCGCGCTCCACCGTCAGGTTGTCGTGGGACACCTTCAGCTTCTTGTGGGCCGATTTGGGGTCCAGCTTGAAGGGCTGGCCTTGTGGAGGAGAAAGTGATTGGAAACATTAGAAACATGCTTTACACAGAACGGCTCATTTATGTTCCCATTTCCATAATATCTTAAACAAAACACTTGTCGTTTATATTATAGTAAAGATTGACCCGATATGGAGTGGTCTTGTGCTTACTGTTGGTCTTCAGAGTCCCCGGCTCGCTGCTCCTGCTTCCTGCTTGGTTAATGGCCTTGACAACGAAGATATACTTGGTGCCGCTCTGCAGACCGTGCACCGTGTAGTGGTTCTGCTTGATGTTGGGAACAATCATCCAGCTCTCCAAAGAGTTACACAGACCTGGGGAGAGAGGGGAGAGGAGGGTGAGATAAGGAGAAAGAGGCACACATGACAGGGAGGGAAGACTCGCTAAGAAATCGTATTTTTTTTACCCTAAAATAATGTATTTACTTCAAAATGCCCCTGATGTACAGTAGAGTGGCGTGAGAGGATGGTGTACTCAATGATCCGTGGTGTGCGAGCCTGTGGCAGTGGGCACAGGTGAGAGGGTGTGAAAAGGCACAAGAGGAAACCGTTCACACCTCGTTGGCTTCATGGCTGCACTGTGCTCACTCAGGTTTATGTGGGTCATTTAGCATGTGTTTCATTGAGTTGCACGTCATACTGCAGTGCAACATCCTAATGACTGCATGTACTGTATGCATGTTCATGTCGTGGCTTTGTTCCCCTGAGGAAGGCAATCTGTTTGTTGGCCACACAGAAGTTAATAATCTTTCATAACCAGCAGCCTCAGTTTTCCTTTCTTACAATGCTACTCAAGAACTGTCAAGAAATAGGATGCCTTTTGTTGGCTTCTCTTCTTATGTTGTTAAGCAGTATCAAATATGTTTTTGTGGAGTAGAATATCAGCCTGAAAACAACAGATTGTATATCAGGAGTTATAGATGCATGTTTCCTTTCTGGTTCCTAGTCGAATCATTTGTGAAAAAGGCATGCATTTAAAGTAACTACTGCTGCTATTCCTACTGGTATACTCTTAAAGACCTAAATGAAATACATTGTAATCACACACATAGTAATAGAGTCACTCTTTCTTATCACATTAAGACACCTTTCCCACAGGAACTCTAATTAAGATAACTGTGCTTAACAATTACGCTTAAGCATGTTGTTTCTGTGTTTTTATTCAATCAACCTTTCCCTTCTCATTAAGTGATTCATCTGAGTCTCTGGGGGGATTTCCTGGAGTGTGACTCGGATGCCAACACTCTGACATTATGGGATGTGAAAACATAAGGTGAGAGAAATCACAGCGTCCCGGTGAACAGAAAGAGACAGGGATGTGAACGTGAGAGAGGCAAGAAAGGGAAATGTCACATTAGCTTAATAGCTGTCTGTTCCAAACATCCTTTCAACTAGGTAAAGTACAAGAAGATGCAAAGATGTTAGCATAGTTTCCAACTGTGCTATTTAAACATTGAGGAAGTATTGACGTAAGATCTTATTTACACCCATTTGAATGATATGCTGCACCATTGTCGAACCACGTCCTCCTTTCATCTGTCACTGGCTACAGTCCATTGATGTGTGACAACATCAGAGGGTGAGAGTGGCATGAAGGCTGCAGGCTTCACTTCAGGAGGTTCCACTTCCACCGCTACCTCGGCTTTTAGTGAAGCACTTCAACTCAGCTGCCTTAGGGGAGCTCGTGGCCACAAGTAGAGCGGCATGATTGTACTTCCAGACCTCAGATCTGTACAAAGTCTTTAAATGGTAAAAGAAAAGTCTGAAGAGCATATTTGTATAAATATTCAAATGCAAGGTGCGGGACAACGGCCAGTCCACTAGATACATTTTGTTTTAAAGGGGCCCAATTGTGCTCTTTGGGGTTCTCCCTTCCCCAGCGTGTGTTATATAGGTTTGTGTGCATGTCAATGGTCTGCAAAGGCTAAAATCTAACCGGTTGAGCAATCACTACAGAGCCGACCAGCTAACAAATCAGAGCAGACTCTGGTTTCAGACAGAGGGTGAACAGAGGTGCTGCAGCTTTTTGAACATTAAAGCATGGAGACATGTCCCAGTAGAGGTACTTACTGGCAATGTTAGACTGTCCAGTAAAGATAGCATACTGCAGCTCATAGGATACCACCGTGAACTCATCATCAGACGTCCAGTGGACAGAGATAGTGTCGTAGGACGCCGTGCACAACTCTTCCCGTATGCACGGAGCATTCGGAGCTGTAGAGAGTGAGAAAAAGGAGAGTCATCGAACAAGATCTAATGCTTATAATTTTCTATTGAACATAGTTGCAAATTCTAATATTGCAAAATCATCACATAGAGTAGCCCCAATTAACCTCGTACGTTTTCATTTATGAGTGCAAAAGCTTCATTACACAGCGGACTGAAGATGTTCTTTCCACTAGAGTGGTAGGCTGAGCAATTAAAGCGTTGCAGAAGAGAAATAATCAAATATTCACTTACACGTCTCACATCAAGGCAGTGGTGAGAGTAAAAATCATAACCCTTGTTGTTACATAAGCGTTCTTACACTCATGTGTCCGCTATGCATGTGTTCTAGTTCTAAACTTTTGTATTCACAAAACCTCTACCAGAGAGAGAGTGGACTGAAGTAAGATACAAAGGCAAGCCTAAATTGATTGTAAAGCCACTTCCTATCTCTTTCTGTGTCTGTCACTCTCCCCCTCTCCCGACCCCTCTGCCATGAGTGGCTGCACATAGTGGAGTGATTCACTTAGTGAAAAGGCCCTCCAGCGAAGCCCTCATGCGTCGCAGAGAATAAATATGAGCCAGCCATTTTCACAGACCTTCAAATCCACTACATACGATGCCTTGTATTTGTCCCCGGCGCGCTCATAATTCACGCCGTGACATTTTGATGGGTCCTCGCAAATGGGACGTCGGAAATTAATGTTGAAAATTAATTTTTTGAGTTAATGGGCTGGGGCGTGCTCCTTCAAACACAGTGCTTGAAGACAGCAGCGACTTCAAATGAATGAAAGAAAAACAAAGTGTGTTTTTTTTTAAAAGCCGGAGTAGAAGTTTGATTAAAGGCTTGTTTGGTTTTATGGTCAACGAGGAATGGAATAAAGGGCCAGCTATAAATCAGACAAAAAGTATTACTTGCTTTGGATTCATTTTTGCAGATAATAAAGAATTAAAATGCCTTTTCACTTTGACTTCTATGAATGAAAAACAATCAAGAAATGACTTTGATTCAAACACAAAGGTTTACCAGTAAGGTAATCCAGATTTTCCAGCAGCTTCTTCTCTCTGGTGAAGTCCAGGGCGACCGTGTCGAAGGTGTCCGTTAGGTTTATCTCAGGGATCAGCACTTGAGTTGATGCTGATGCCATTGAAACCCTAGATCACAGAAACAAGGACATTTAGCGTGCTTATCTGATGAATTAAGAAACAGTATTAACAAACTCCTCAAAAGTTGAATTAAATCAGCCTCTGTTTCTGAAAGAATACTTTAGTTTGAAGGACTCCAGCATAATGATTTATTTTTATTTCAGTCACTCCTGAGATGCACATAATGGACACCAAGTGTTGTTCTCAGCTGCCAAATTAATTAGTCAGAAAGCTTGAGGAGGGGGTAAGAGAATAAGATTATGTTAAATTAAAGATGGCTTCCCAACTTTAAAGTGTTGACTCGTGGGGAATTCAAGTGCAAAAAGTACTTAAATTGTTTCTGAAAGTGCACTCTTTGCCCTATCCTTAAAACTAGACCTTAAGTTTGCAGAATAATATCACTGTGTGTGGGCTCTCTGACCTCTCGTTGATGCACTTGGCGGTCTGCAGGAAGCGCGCGTGATCAGTTTCTTTCAGCGTCTGATCGGCCTGCGTGATGAGGGCCGAGGACCTCTCGATGCACTGCTTGCAGTTGGAGATCTGTTGGGCGAGCTTCCGAATCCTTTGTGTCTGGAGAGGAAGGGATCACATATTCAGACCAAGAATGCATGAAAACCAGGGTGGGATGGCGGGGTTGGTTAACGATGAGAACATAATCAGAGCAGATGACAGGAAACGACCCCAGAGAATACGGTTTTATTGCTACAAGACGATGGATGTTAACATTTCCAAGTCACACACAAAAGGTCACATGATGCACATAGTCTTGTATTACGTCATGTTTTCTTAATGCTATGAACATTAAAGGTGGTGACTTATAGCAAAGGGCATGAAGGCGTCTATAGTGTTCAGTGTCACAGCTCATATGTTCTGGCCCTCCTTCTTGTTTTCTGTTTTCTGAGGTTTTGTATAAAAGGTTTCTTTTGAGTCTACATGAAACAGACACTTCAAGGTTACCTCTTTCTCTTGATGTCGTGGAGAAACTAAGAGGTTGTGATTGCACGTCTAAGCTTCATGAGATTGAATAGGAAACAGTGAAGGGTTAAATGAGTGGGTTAATCTTCTCCCATGTCCGTGCTAATACCTGATTTTCATGGCGATACGATGATTCTATTGCACGCAATTGCCCCCCAGTATCATTCCTTTCTCCACACAGTATGAGCGGAGATGTAAAGAGACAGATTGAGGTCAGTGACTGGGTTGAGGTTAAAGGACTTTTGATCAGCAGTCAGAGAACCCAAAACACTGTAATTGCAATCCAAATCCATTGTCCTCATTGTGTTATAAAAGAAACTCTAAAAAAAAGTATGACACAATGGAAATCAATCCCTCGTGGGTCTCGTGTCTTATTAGATGCAGCTTTGAAGAGAAAAAGATCCGGGTTTTGTAATACACGTGCTGTCCCATATGCTCTAGTTTTGGCCGGTCTGAGAGTTTCTCCCTTCTGTTGGAATGGAAGGGGTTTGAATTTGAGGCAGCTGAACAGTTTGCCGTCTGCTCACCATAGAAGGTCAAGTGGCTGTAACAAAGTATTGCAATAGACGGATAAATGGGCTCTGATGGTGACTTGGAGTGCTTTCAACGCACATGGGATGTAATAGTGAGGAACAAAGAGGATGACATTAGCAGTCTGTTGCAATCCAATCTTTTGACTGTGAATGCCAGACTCTGATTCGAAGCACATTTGGACATTTCATTGTATCCAAGCATGAATAAAGGATTTTTTTTTTTTTTGCACTATGGAATATCAAATTGATGATAATTAAATGTGAGGAAATGGTGAAATGAATTAATGTTGTTTGTAGTTGGACAGGAAATTGACAACACTGCATGGAAGCCTTTAAAAAGATGACACATTGTAGTCCATTCACAGCTAAGAAAGGATATTAAAGTGAAATGTGGGTATAAAATAGACAGAAAAGCGAAATAAATGTCATCCCTCGCCCCCGTGTTCACCTCACCTTCCCCTCCTTGATCTTGCTCCCGATGATCTGCCTCCTCTGCTGGATAATTTCGATCAGGACATCACACTCCTCCAGGAGCTTGCCCTCCTGACGGGTCGCGTTCACCTGAGAACCAATTCACACACAGAGCATGAAATAAAAGGAAGAAACTGATGGATGCTGCGAACAGAGAGCGATATATACATTTAGTGGCTATGTAACGTGTCGGCCGAGGGACAGAATGTCATTTCCATCCATCAGCCAATGCGTCTGAAGCAAGTACTTGAGGAAGACGAGCCGTATTCAGCCATTTTGTCTCCCGCTGGCTGGAGGGATGAGTGACAAGTAACAATAAGCAGAAAGAGAGCAGACATGACACTCAGGAATATGCAGAAGAACCAGTGTGGGACTAAAATAGAATTTAATAGGTTGCATTTCATTTTTAAATTACCTTTGTGAGGCTCTAGAGCTGTCAGTATCCCAGTTTTAGTGTTAGCCACTCGTCCACCATTAGATTCAATTCGATTGCTTATAATAGTACCATCATCGATTTCCAATGACATTATGTAATTTTTGCCTGACTGACCATCTTATTAGGGCTTGGTTTTGGGGGGAAAAGGGAGTGATTTAGGCAAAGAAGTAGCTATTTTTTCCATGGTAGACATTTAGGACGAGTTTGGAAATAATAGTGTTTTGTAATGAAACATTTATCATTGTTCACATTATCCGATAAAAACAAGATTAAAATGCAATCTTTGTTATAAATTCACGTCTTAGGGTTGTAAAAACGTTCAAATGTAGAAACTGACTTTATAGCTAAAGTCTATTGCTGTCGTAACTTTATATTAAAGGAGTGGTGGCAGTGGGTTCAAACACAACAATGATGGCAATGAAACTTAATGGAAAAGGTTTAATTTAGTTTAAGAAGGTGTTTGGGAAAGTGCCGTGCTGATTTTATCCAGGGTTGTTTTGCCATGAGGGTCTTTAGAGGAAAACCAGCATGCAGCTGCATTCTGCGGGGTGTTTGATTCACTTGGAGCCTGTACAGTGTGCTATAAAAGCTGTTCAAATGCAATTATAAGACTGCAGGTCCTACCATAATGTGCAGTTTCTCATTTTGGTCATTTCCTAGTGCTCCTTTCAGCACCTTGTAAAGTGTGTTCTTCTCGCTGTGGTAAAGCGATAGCACGGGGAGCAATGAAAGTGAAGTCTGCAGTGAGGGTTGCCAAGCCACCAAGTTATTCATACGCTCTCCGTTACACACACGCATGTTGACAGGTGTTTTAATAATGACATCACGGGGAGTCGTTTGCCTTTCCTACATCGAGCCAAACAAGGGCTGGAAAGGACTTCCTCAATATCCTCAGCGTGGCCTTTTAAACGGCATGTATGTGCTTTTCTGGGCCTGTGTTGCCAAGAGAAACAATTTGCCACCTGGATTACAATGCTTTCAGTACGTGAAGACGTGCTAAGCTGTATAATGAAACCGCCAGTGCATCTGGTTTTCAACACAGCTAATTGGAGCCTCCGATGTCATTGTGACAGCTCCTGGGAAGCTGGAGATGTTAAACGGCTTACTCTGTGAAAAAACATGTATATATGGTATGTCTTTGTGGCATGTTGTACACATTTAACATTTGGGTCATCAAAAGCTCCCAACTAAACTAGATCTGAAGGGAAAGTATTCTTTGCTGATTCACTTTGCCTGGCATTTTATAATTAAAAACTAAATGTGAATAAACATGACGTCCTCCAATATTGCTCATCTGACTGGAGCCACCGCCCACAAGGCTGCAAGGACACACACACACACACACACACACACACACTGCGGTCACTTACAAATCATTCCAGTAAAAACGAATATTTTAACATTTAGACAAAGAGTGTCAAACATTATAGTAGTCGATCTGTGGGTAATTGGTTAATGCAGTAGACTGATTAAGTAGCCAAACACACACACGCACGCACAGTGTTTTACCAAAGTACATCATGTGCAAAGATGTGGAGCATCTAATGGCTGTGGGCAGAGCCCTCTGGAGCATGTGAACAGTATGACAGATTGCTCCCTGGTGGAGACATTACGTGATTCATTTAGTCTCAGAAACTCAAACACACACATTACACACACACACACACACATTCATAAATGACTCAGTCCTCCAGGATATGCAAAGTTGTTGAAAGGCACCCAAACTGAGCTTTCCTCGAGGGAGGTAACGTCACAAGTCCAATATATTTAGTGACACGATGCGTGTTTTCTACGACATTAAGCCAGAGACCTCAGCTGTGTGACTGTGCTCCAGTGTAAGCATTCATTTCCCCTCACTTGGAATCAGTTTATTTATTGCATTTGTATACAGACACTGACAACTGCTGCATTTGACCATTTGTGATTATATCATGGATTGGAGTCAAACAAGATGGATAGGTTTTAACATGATTAACACTGTGAATTGAAACAACATTGGTTAGGTTTAGGCAAAAAAACTACTTGGTGACGAAAAATCATGTTCTCAGGGTTAGGGTTGTTCTTCGTTTTACACAGGCACCGACAAAGGTCTTCTGGGTAAATAGTCCTGTCTGTTTTGGTAGTTTGTTGCTCATTCCACTATGATACACCATCTAAATGTCAGTTTGTATAGTAGCATAGTGCGATTGATCCACATGTTGCCAGCAATAAAGAAAAGCCAGGATTTTAAATGGTGTGGTGCGGAAGAATTAAATTGTGAAAATAGTTAAACCTCAGCAAAGTTTCTCAATTATAGTTTTCCTTTCTAAGTTTGAATGAACAATGTGCTTTTTTCATTTAACAACAAATGGAGTCTCAAAAATGTCAGAAAGTATCAGGAGCAAACTCCAGAGAAGCTTTGGGGAAGATGTGAAATATTCAGCAAGCTGTCAGTGCGATGCTTTTACTCTTTTCATCCCAGTCACATTCAGCCATGTCATGGAGAGCTGCAGGTTTTTATGCATTTTTATGAGTTTATGCTTTTATTTTTTCATGATCACCACCAAGTTCCATCCTCTACTTGTGCAATAGGTCTTTTCTCACCCACACAGTACACAAGCTACGGTGTGTGTGTAACGCTGTGACCATAATGCACTGGGGGAAAATGGGTCATGCTCTCTCTTAAAAGCATTATTTATACATTTCTGATTTTTAAAGTGGAGTGTTTCCTTTTTGTGAGAATTGAGGGAATCAAAGAGGGTGTTTTTTTGTATTTAAAATGACTGCACTATAAACATTTAAGCAGGATGGTGACACTGAAAGATACAAAATAAATTGCACTTAAGGAAAACGTTTTTAAATCTGCTTAATAAATCACAATCCCCTCTGCTTGCAGTTTCTATATGGCCTGCCATGCAGAGAGGCTGCCCTCTATTATTTCTAAGCCAAGATGTCAGTGCGTTTTAACCCTGTGGCAGTGCTTTATTTAAAGCTCCTTAGTGGGCCAGCGTAACATGAACAGGCAGGCTTTACACTGAATTCCCTTCAGTAATGCTAAACCCACACATTTATCATAATACAAATATTAGACAAAACCAGTTGCTTTACAAATATCTTTTCAATTGAATAATTATTTCTTAGAGTTTTAATGTTGTGGCTAACAGTAGGCTAAATAATGTCAATTATGTCAAGTAAAATAGGAGATGTCAGTGTAGAATTAAAACTATTTATATGTTTTATATATAAAAGTATTTAAATAATAGTTCTGAAAGTAAACATACAACAGCATGATGACAGTTTATAGACACTAGTGCACTTAGAGGACGGCTGTGACTCACCTCTACATGTTGACAAGTCTGGATCAGTTTCCCCATGATAGACTCCAGCTCATTGTTCCTCTTGATCAAATTGCTCAGGTTGGAGTCCAGGGCTTGCTGTGGCAAACACAAAACAACACGGAGTGAGAAAGTAAAAATAAATAGCTGGGAAAAATAAACGCAAAGGAACAGACGTGGAAGGCAGAGTCGTAAATCAAAGGAGGGTGAAAAAGCAACTCTGCTTACACAAGAAGTTGTAAGAAAACCTCAGGTGATGCATCAACAAAGTTCAACAGCAAGTGGAAAACAACTAAACAAGATAAATTGAGCAAAGAATATTTGATTCCTCAGCAGCAAAGACTATCTTCCCTCAACTCTTCTTCCTAACAAACATCCCAAACTCATTTTCCCCCGTCTTTCTGACAAGGTGCGTTCAGTTTCCACGTACCTCTGAGCGCGCCGGGTACCCATCATCATCCCTGTACTGCCTCCTCATCCTGCCCCGTGCGAGCCTCCGACAGAGGAGCCTTCTCTAGGAGAGGATGTGACTGGGACAGCCTCTCCACTGAGCACCAAGCCAAGAGCAAACCCGACCAAGCGGCAAATTAGGCATCAAAAGCCTTCCCTATGAGAGCACGAAGCAGCGCTCTCGGCTAACGAACCGGCAAACAGGTGACAGCACGTCAGCTCTGTCCCTTAACGCTCCTCCCTTCTTTTTGATCTCCCCTCCCCTTTTTGCTTTTGGCTGCTTTTCATCCGCTAAGGCACAAGCTGTCTCTATTGCTTTCCAGACCGTCGTGTTATTGCCAAACCGAGCGTGCTTAAGCCGCTCTAATACCACGTCTCCACCGTCCCGTGCAAAACTGTTTTTCTGAAGAATTTCAACTCACAAATGCTGCATGTTTTTGAAAATGCTGTAAAAGGGGAATTGGAGCAAGGCCCGACTGTCAAATCCCAAAAATAGCTTAGATTAGAAAGCCCAGGTTCCTGAACACAGCATGCATTCGGGTAAATCCTTCACTTTCTTAATCTAAAGTCAAACAAATATGGCAAGCAAACTAGCTAGATATGCTACATTCCCATTTTTTAAGCAGCAGTGTAAACACAGCCAGGTTCAGATGTTACGTACGTGGAGGATTAAAAAGGAGTTATCCCAGGGGGAATATTGAATAAACAACAACCACAGTAGACACAGAAAGAGACTGTGGGATTTGTGTGTCTTTGTGTGTGCTTGTGTGCTGCTGTGGCACTAGGGGGCTTAATGGGTGGCCTTAATACGCCGATGACACACAAAATCAAACGCGGCATAAAGGTCTTCTCCGAGATGAATGTGGCGCTGTCATGGCCATTATCATCCATAGGGATACAAATAAACCAGGCTTGTATGGGATGATGAGAAAAAGCATCACAACGATAAGTCAGCAGATGTTAAGCGGTGTATGCAGCAAAACGCACGCATGCAAACGTAAGCGAAAAGGGCGAAAAACATATTTGTAGTCATGTATACGCTTATGGGAGTGCATAAAATGTTGAGAAAATAAACTTGACATCTCCACACGCACATCTCCAGTAAGTAAAATACCCTGTGACATAAGGGAATTTAAAAAATGAAACCTGCTGTCAGTCTCATCTGTGTGTTTGTAGATTGTATGCACGGTTACAAATGGTCATGAAGGGGTTAACCCACATATTCAGCATCTATGTTGACTAGTGTTAATCTCTGCCATCCAGCCGCTCACCTGACTATCACACTGCTTGTTTATCCTGAGTATATCTCTCCATCTATCTGCTATCCTGCTTCTCCGGTGCCAGTGCAAGCCAGATTTGTACCCAACAGTTGTTTAATCTCTGCTCTGAACCAACTACGCAAAACCATGTTGACTTGATGAGTTTTTAGATACACAGTAAGCCAATAGATTTGGATTAAAAGTGTTGAGCTGCACGCCTGTAAAATCATTTCACACCCCTAAACCAGAGGCGCGATTCAAGTACATATAGTCAAAGGAACAGTATGGTAAATAAAAAGGGGATCTTTAGGGAGAAATGGAATATTATGTTCAGCATTATGTTTTCAAAATCACCTGAAACTAAGAATATTTATCATTTTGTGTAAGCCACCTTAAGTTTTCCGTTTACACTTGGAAAGGGGGTGTGATCCACGACCTCTAGACTCCCCCTAAATGCTACAAACTAGTCCTTTAAGTATACTTTTGGAGTGAGTACTTCCATTGTATACTTCCCTTATATACTCTACTCCATTTCTGAGGGGAAAAAGCAGCTATAAATCTTGTTTTTGGTGACATCCAGTGGTTACTGGAGTAGTCAGCAGTGATGTACAAGTGTACTTACTGTAAGGGTGTGTCAGTAAACTGTGACATCACTATTTGGTGCTACCTTTAATGAAACGTATACATTGCAACATACATAGATATATAACCTGCCATGTCTTTAAAAGAAAGGATTGTTGACAGGTCTCTGATCTTCAGTGAAGTTCATGGCAGCAGATGTCTTCCTGTGACTGAAGTAGAGTGAGTTTTGTGTGCATCATGCTGTGCTGCAGCGCTCAGATCTCTCACAGAATCCACTCTTTGAAACCGAGGCACACTTTGCATGTGTTTCATCCTGAACGTCTCCCTCCTGGCTTAAAAATAGTGTTTGTGGCTCTTGATATTTTTATACTTTTGTAAATAACTATAATACTAAGTTTATAGGTTGTTCTCTATTTGATGGTGGGCGACGGTGTGTTTGCTCGACACACTCTTTCCTACAAGTGAACTCATGTGTACATTGAAACAATATGTTTGTTTGTATCAGTCTGTGGGAAACAGAGATGACTCTGCTGGAAAGAAAGTAGCCCTGACTTGGAAGCAAAGCACAACACAGAAACAAGGAAACAAGGAAAGAACATTATGCTGGGGGAAACTGAAAGGACACAGAGGTGTTTGTGATTGTGTTTGACTGAGAGTCAAGAAGACCCCCAGCAAAGGGAACAATCTGTGCAGAAAGGAGACAGTGGGTGCTGCACTGTAGATCCTCAAGTGATGGCTAAAGAGAGAGAACCAGGGCTTTATTTGAGATTTTTACAAACTGGTTGATCTCTAACAAAACTGGGGCAAAGGACATTATAGACATTTTTAATTCAAAGTCACTAGTCTGGATTTTGCAGAATCCAGCCCCAACATTATAATCCTTAAACCGGCTGTGATTTATAAGTATTACGATGAATTAAATGCATGTATCCCTTTGAGATTGAAGCCTTTGCAGAACATTCACATGCACCAAAGCCTATATGACACACTACAGGAAAGAGAAAACCCCAAAAGCGTAATAGGGCCTCTTTAAAGGGACCTTGGCTATTATAAGGGATGTGTGGAAAGACTTAAAGATGTTTTGCCCTTTTGGCTGTAGAACTTCTTTGGCTGCTTTTTAAGGAATTACTAAGGATGTAAAAAACGTCAACATAATAATATATACAATATGAGGAAGGGAATGTGTACCCACGATAGAACAGATGAATGAGACAGCTGGAGGACATCAAGGTTATATTGTGCTTATCGGCAAAGCTTTGAAATGTTGTGTGTCTGTTCATGTTTTATTGTGCGTGTTGCCACTTGACAACCCAAAGTTTGTTGTTCCAACACTGAAGGGCGGCTGAAATTGATTACTCCATAAACACAACAAACCTATGATTTGAAACTAAAGCTGACAACACACACAAACACACAACTGGGCCCATATTTTGTACCTCAAGGTTCTTTCTCCTCACACCCAGAGCCAAGGACTTTAAAAGCTATTTCCAGGCGCCTTCTCCGTCAATTTCCTGTGACGGGGGTAATTTTATCTCTGAAAAAGGATGGGTGTTCCCACAATAACCTCCACGGCTCTTATCAGACACACCACCGCTGTCACTGAAAAGAGGAAACTATTCCAATCATCTTACACTCTTCCCCCCCCCCCTCTGTGCTGAGAGGGGATATCTCAAATTCCAGAAGATCAGTGCAAAGAGCGATGTGTATGAAATGGTCCGGAAAATATGACCAAAACAGTTTTGACTTGTCAGACTCCAAAATGAGAGAAAAGCACCATATCTCAGGGAAAGGGCTGTCTGAGACATCTTAAGTATTTCAAGTTTGAACCATTTGGGTTACCTGACAAGAGTGTTTCGTGCCTGTTAGCACTTTCTCTCTTAAGAAGTTCCCCCAAAGTCTTCTGTACTTATGAATTAAAAATCAAATGTGTTGTTCAGCATGAATATTGCAGGGCTGTTGGGTTGTTTTCAGAGCTAATTAGCGTACATCGAGACCTCCATTTATTTCCTACCCTGTTTCTGTCGCTCGTTCAAAACCGCGACCATTTGCAACAAAACTCTTAAAAGCGTCGACCTAACTCAGCATAGTAAATTATAATGTATTATACATTTTAGAACTGACATGTTTTGCTGAAAGTTTAAAAAGATTTCATTAAGATTACATGTGTTATATAACCATAATTGAAGATGAGATTAGTGTTTCTGTCAGGATTTGTTTGCATGTTTTTGACACGTACGAAGTAAATAGCCTAGCTGTGATTAAGTAAACTAAGATTGAACTGACATACAGAACTTAACTCTCTACTTTAAAACATAATTCAGCCCAAGCCTGAGATATGTTTTATTCAAGATGCGGCAAAATAATTAAAAAATAAGCATATTGCGTGTCTTCCCTTAAATGCTGGGCCTAGATTCTTAATCTAACAGGGTCTTAACCCGTAGTGTGTATCAAACTCACGTTATGTGCCAGATGGCTGTCGTGAGATTTTTAAGGGCCTGACAGTTGGTCAAATCCTCCCAAACTGATGCGAGGAAGAGCACATTTGTTTTCTGTGTGAGAAAGTAGATGCTGCCCGTGTTTATACAACTATTGTAAGGGTAGAGGGTAGTCTCAAGTGTGTGTGTGTGTGTGTGTGTGTGTGTGTGCCTGGGTGTGTGACAGAGGGCAGGCTCAGTTAAGTTAATGAAGCAGTCATACGTGTATCGTTTCTCAATCTGCCTGTCCTCATTACGACTTTATATATAATCCTCAACATAATTAAATCCTAAATAATGTAAATGATAATTTCACTGAACCAGCAAGATTTGATAAGGAAAACAATACATTTTAAAATAGTAAGTTCCAAATAGAGTGCACGTTAATGAACATTTAAAAAAAATGGTTGCCAAAACTGTGGTGATAGTTTGGTTAGGTTTATTCACAAACATAACTTGGTTTAGTCATGGAAATATCCTGATTGACTTGTTGGCTGTCTCTGAAGTAATTGCATAGTTTTGGATTTTGGAAGTTAATAAACCGTTTTTTTCTTTCTCTGCAGTTGATATGGACATTCTACTAAAGCTGTTAACCCCAAATGTTTATATGTTCATCATCTCAAACTGTAAAAGACACACAGTTTGAATGTCCTCAGGCAGTTCATTTAAACTAACATGTATAGCGTAAAGTATATGGTGGCATGCAACCTTTAATAATGGGATTAATTCTACTTAGTGTATTTCTTCAGGGGTTGGAAACATGTATTAAACTGCAAGTAATAGTACACAGCAGGGATTCAGAGTACGTACATAATGCATCTATGAGGCATCATGGTTGTTGAGTCTCGTTTGCGTGCACAGGCCATATTTTGCTACCTGTGAGCATGTCAGAGCGACAGAGCTTTTTAAATTACAGCAGATAATTAGCCTGTATGATAACGGCTGGGTGTGCTGACCTGTGCTATGTTACGTTCTCTCTCTGGATGAATGGAGGGAGCAGGATAATTAGATGATGCATTGACCTGTAGCCTCCCCGCTAATTATTCTTCTTTTGCTGATACACTCAAGATGAGGAGGCACAGACACACTTGTCAGCCGTGATGACAGGACATAAAGCCCGTCATGTGGAGCAGAAACACTTGGAAACCAGCAGCGGGCGTATAATAACAGATCAATGAGTGGGATGCTTTTTTGCTGATTTTCTTTTTCGTGAGAAACAAGAAAAGAGCTGACACTAAAAACGTTTTCAAGTGTTGCTTTTGGCTATTGTTTGGTCTTCTCTTTTACTAATGTAACAAAGCTACATGTACACATGTCTCAGTAATACCTTTTATTCTACACAACTAAGATTTTGTTGCTGTGTGTCTGTTTCTTCCATTGTACCACCAAAGTTGTGCCTCCGCTCTGAGGAAGTATTACAAACAACCCACTTGAACATGTGTTTCAAACCTCTGTTAAAAGAGAAACCTGTTTCTCATAGAAGTCAAACCACAGCTTTGCATTTTAAGCTTAGCAAGGCTGAACAAACATTTTCAGAGTGAGCGTGCAAGAGGGTACTGATGGATAAATCACGCTTTGGAAACGCTTTGTTTTTTCTCGGCCATTGTTCTGCGAGAAAGTCTGTGATATATGGGATTATCAGAATTTGACCTTAATTTGCTGCATCTGCTGTATTATAGGAGTTAAATAACTGGCAGTAAAGGGGTTAACCCTAACCCTTACCCCGAAGTGTATGCGATTCTAAAATAGTTGCGTATCCCTTTAAGAAATGTTCTTTATTTTTTATGATTATGGGATTATTTTAGGAAAAGCATCCGGTGGACATTCAGAGTAACACATCCTTCTCCATGAGCTCTGATGTAACACACACACACACACACACACACACACACACACACACACACACACACACACACACACACACACACACACACACACACACACACACACACACACACACACACACACACACACACACACACACACACACACACACACACACACACACACTGCCTCTATGGCCATTACCAGCACACTCTAATAGCCATGCTCAATTAAGCACACCTACACCCTGCAGGCAATTGGCGCTCATTAACCTGCAGCCTCATCGAAGACACCATGCCTCGTCACTAATGACACTCCACATATTCACTGTGTGTGTATGCCTCTGAATACCCTCCTGGCACACTGGCAGGATATAGTGATTATGCTAATTGATTAATTATTCAGCAGAGATAATAAGTCAGCATGAGATGATAACATCTCACTTGATAATCGAGTTAGATAGCTGGGTAAGGATAATAGGAGATTGCATACTGCAGAGCAGCATAAAATTACAGCTTAAAATACAAAAAATGTGTTAATGGAGTGTAAGCTGTCCAAAAATGTTAATATAAAAACTTTGATGTATCTGCCGTTAAAGGCTCCAGGTTAATTAGAGTTCAGGTTTTAGAGAACTTTGATAAATATTTTAAAGCCAAATCATCCCAAAAAGACATATTATTCACAAAGGAACTAATTAAAAAGAACTTGGAACAAAAGAAAAGTTAACCAAGGTCTGTGCTTACCTTGAGTTTTTCATAGCGGTCGCTCAGCGCTGCCACCTGGTGGTCTCGGTGCCTTCCCACCAGTTTGCACAGCGAGCAGATCAGCTGATCGTCCGTGACACAGTACATGTTCACCTTCTCCTCGTCGTGCTCCAGGCACTGCAGCCCCCTGAGGTGGGAGTCTGGCATGGGCTCGATGAGCCGGTGGCCGGTGAACGGCTTCTTGTTCGGGTGCGTTGCTCGGAGGCACTCCTCGCAGTACGACACCTCGCACGTCACACACGTTTTCACGGCATCCTGTGGCGGGTCCTGCTCACAGAACTGGCACTGGATGGGCTCAGGAGGCGTGCCCGGGCTGGACATGGCGGCACTGAACGGGACCAACGCCAACCGGTCTCTCCCTTCCTCTCCGGGAGAGTTGGGCCCGCTGTGGGGCGCAGGCAACGCCAGCGGAAGAGGGATCCCAGCCGAGGATGAGGCCCTCTGTACTCTATCAATAATGTTCTGCAAGGTCACGTTTCTCTTTAGTCCTTCTAGTCCACGCTCAGGACTCAAGGAGATGACATATCTACAGGTGGGGCACTGGAAGGCGCCGATGCTCAGAACTGATTCGTTGGTGGCACAGTGAGAGATGAGGATGCGATGGGCGCAGCCGAAACACAGGCTGTGAGCGCAGGGCAGCAGCAGTGGGTCTTCAAAGAGCTCCAGGCAGATTGGGCAAGTCAGCTCTGACTCCAGTGTGTCCATCCTGCTCAGAGGAGGCCAGGCGGGACCAGGCGCAGCGTCAGCGAAATCCAGAAGAGCCGCTCAGCTGTCTGCAGGCCGGAGACAGAGAGATAGATGGTGGAAGGAGAGAAAGGGGATTTGTGATTAAATGGTGAGAAACGGCTTACTTCTTACTGCTTTATATCTCAATGGAGCAGATCACTGAGCAGACTTAAAGAATGGAAGTGTTAACTGCTGGATTATCTAAGTCTGTGTGAAAACGGACCATGAAAGCAATTGATATAAAATACTAGACAAATAGAATAGCTTCAAAAAATGTGACATCTTCAAATCAACGGCAATGATGCAATAATTAGGTAAAGGCATGCTGTGTGTTGACCAATGTTTGCAGATGTGACCGGTATTGTTTCTGGCTTTGCAGTTGCAACACTTTAGTTCAGATTGAGCTTGGTTTAACAAGACTGTTTTTCACAGCAGACCCTTAAATGCACCACTAAGGAAGAGTGTTCAAAAAGTGCACGCTTACAGCAGCATTCCAAAAGCTCCTGGACAGACACCATGTTGTTTAATAGTTTATCCCCATGTTTAAATTAGCAGTCAATGCGTAGTCATGTGTTCTCTGCAGTAAAAGTAATGCCCTCTGTGAAGCTCCGTGGTTTGATTAGAAAGTTAAACTGTGCATGTCAGTAATTGAGAATGGAACCATAGGGGTATAATGTTGATCCTTTTAATTTTAAGTTTCAGCACTTAGCGTCGTGGCAGGAGGGTGTAGTTCTGATTTTGGGTGCAGCAGTGGCAGCTGCAGGCACAGCTGTAGTCAATTGGTAATTAGTGCAAATGTCCATTTATTCCCCCGCAGAGGAACTCGGCCTCCATTTCTGTTTGACCCTGGTGCTGAAAGTCACCCATGTTCAACACGTGGGATAAGTTTGTGTGTGTGTGTCTGCATTTTCATTTGAAGTTTGGTTATGCCTCAGAGGGAAAAGCCTACACTCAAAGCATATGAATGCAATCAACATCTAGTTATTATCTTTTTAAGATTAGATGAAAACTAAACAAACCCTTCAAGGAAATTAGATTTGAAGAAATTGATTTCTACAGAAGCAAAGAAAGCGATGTATAGATAAGACTAGCCCAAATGCAAACTATTGAAGATGAAATAACACAATTTAACTTGTGCTGTTTGAATGCATAAAAGAAAAAGCCTCAAACATAGTGAAGATGTGTTTTTCCCAAGTGGACACGCGTATTTATGCAAATTGAAGCATAGCTCAAACTCATATTTAATATAATTCTAGTCTACAAATGATAATAATCACTGTAATTACTGTTCTGAATCGAATGCATGCGTCACTGAGGCACGGCCAGTCTACCGTATTTGTTGTTTCAGTAGATGTCACTGTTTACTGGGCTTGAGTGCGTCTGCTCGGATCGCCACACTCACATTATCCCTCTGATTTGCTTTCTAGCCATCTTCATGCGTGGTTTCCTTTCATCCTCTGTGCCTCTGATAAACTAAGTCGCCCGTCATATCTGAGGTTAGATAACATTCATTTGCAGTGCAGAGGAGGACCAGTAAACGGATTGAAGGAAAAATGACATTCTTAGGTTTATCATCAAAACTAGAATTGTGCGAGTCAAGAAACTCTGATGTCCAAGATAGTCCGTATGTTAACATATAGCAGATAGCGTTTAGAGGGGAGAAGAGGCCAGATATTGAGTAGGAGAGATGGAAGAGAGGCAGCAATCACACACTCCAAATGAAATGAAATGTGTTTGGAGGGCCTGTAAACACAGCAAATCCTCAGAGACACTCACATCTACACGTGTCCATACGCATCGATACACACTTAGATTCCTTCAAACACACAGCATGAGACACAGAAGAGCCTCCCTCAGGTGTTTGTGTTGCCAGAGATATTATATCAGTCCAGTAAAACTCAGAATATCATGATGTATTAGCCTTTTTGCTCAATTTACCAACAACATTAATACATGAAAATCATCATGCGTGTCTCCAATTTGTACTTTTTGAGTAGTCATCTTAAATCAAGCTTTGTTACAAGTGTGCAGTCTTCTGTCTGGTATTTTCTGGGGTAATACAGCACATATTGGTGTGTCCTTAATATTTTATTATTGAAAGGTTTGGCATATTAACATGTAGGAGGCCAGTTCCAGCAATAAAAAGGACCAGCACTGGTTCATTAAGTCTCACTGCTGGCGACTGTTATTGAATACGAGCAATAACCTAAAGTCAATGTTTGAACACCTGGATTTAATTATAACATGTTTAATATGGCCATCATCTTACATAACATGCTAACACCGTTTAAAAATCCTGCAGCACAGTTCCCTCATTGTTTACAGTATCCAGTTATAATATGTTGAAATGTCTCAATCAACATCTATAACAAACAGTAATGTATGATGTGTGTAATGTGCATTAAGTTAGTGTATAAATCGAGGTGATATGCTGCAGTCGATCCCTGTGCACAAATGTCAGCAAGGAAACATACACAGCATTCTAAAGAAGCAGAGAGAGGAAGTGAGTTGACAAAGAAGGCAACGTTTGACACTGATGGAGCTCTGACAGCTGACTCCTTGACAGGAAGTGGAAATATGGGGGCGCCAAAGCATAAAGGGAATGAATCCATCTCGTTCTGACAAAAAACAAACATATAATCCTACATTTGACATACAGAGTTAGATGGATCCAAACTGGCTGGGTGAAATGCCTCTTAGCACACCATAGATGACACTGTTGAACCGTGCATCGAGGTGACGAGGCACAAAACCGGAGGAAGAGAGAGGAACAGGAAGTCAGACTGGAGGAGGAAACAAATCCAAGTTGTTTATTTTCCCACCATCCCCTTTCGCCTCATGACTGTCAGAGCTGCCACTGTGTAGAAAGACTCGTCTAAAGTGCTGGCAACGTCAGTACCAATTCTCTTCAGTGGGGGGCAATACAAAACAGAGCATCAGTGGGAGCATCATCCAGCTATTTCCCTTCAGCGTCTGCATGTGAGCAATAAACAAGGCGTCTTACCCAGCAGAAAAAGACTGTTTATATGCTTGTGCATTATGTGAATGGGCCATAATAATGTAAGAAAATACACAAACATGATATGTGTTTTTTGTAGTTTTTCTTCTGCCAAGTATGGTAACAAGTGTTGCTTTGCATTAAAGTCACTTAAAAACCTATTTAATATTCAAAATTGGCACCACATATTTCTAAAGCATCATGTATCGGTATGTATACTATTTGAAACCTAATTGCTAATATGTCAGCTCTCCAACTGTCATGGGGACAGCTTCATCATATTTGTTCATTATGAGTTCCTTATATAATGATTTCTGTTACTTTGAATTTCCTTTGTAGCCTCGTCTGGATGCATAGAGCCTTTCCCTGACCTTTAATTGATGTTGGGAATTGTAGGGTCTAGCAACCCGAGCAAATGTTCACCAGCATGGTACTACATGTTCCAAAACATTGATGAGTTATCCTAAAGCCTTTTAGTAAGCAACATTTAAATGCATTTTTTTTTTTTAAATCATCAGCTGGAAAGATTGTGACTGTTTGCCCGGGGCATGCAGCTTCACCTTTTAATATTTTAGCACAAGTTCATGTACGTTGCCATCAGCTAGAGTAAGCTGAAGTCGAATGAACTGGAGTCTACAGTATGTCGGGGAATGTATAGGTCAAGTTGACGGTGTTTGGTCAAAACTGAAACCAAGATGAAATGACATCTACAAAATAAGGCTGTATCAAATTGCAGTTAAATGTGCACATCTTGTAGTTCAATGGGAAGATATACCAGTCAAATAAAATCAAATGTTTGGCCCTATTACAGTACTTTTACTTGACATACTGTCGTGTCAACCTCTGCACACAGCTGCAATTCAAGTTCACGTCCTTACCGTCTACAGATAACAGAATGATATCTGACAGATATGATATGCTTTGGTGTGTGTTAGACGAGATATGCCCTTCCTTCAAAAAGAATCAGATTCCTGTATCATGTTCTTCTTCTCCTTCTATTCCTGGCACTTATGTGTATTGCTCTGCCTCTCTCCGGTTACAGAGCCGTGTAACCAAAGTCCAAATGTCATTTCTCTGATGCTACTGGCAAATGTGTAGTGTCCTTATTTTGAAATAAAACCTTGTATATGGTCTCTCATCCGTAAATGTCAGCGAATAACCTTTTGCTTTAGAAATGTTTTCAGTGTTGGAGAGAAAGCTCACTTTTGATATTTGGAAGAGACCCTAAGAAAGTAAACACTTAACCATTTCAGCACTCAGATATGAAAGGGGCCCTTAACTGCCCTGTAGTGTGTTAAACAGGTTTTTTGTGCATGTAAATGGTCTGCAAAGGATACAATCCCTTTGTTTACTTCTCTACATATCTAAGCGGTTGACCAATCACAACAGAGCAGCCAGCTAACCAATCAGAGCAGACTGGGCTTTGGTTTCAGACAGAGGGGTGGTCACAGTAGAGACACTACTGATATACACCTGGAAATGAGCAGAATAGGGCCCCTTTAAAACTCGTTCAACCTGTTTGTATTTGGCTAGAATTCGCCATTAGTCTGCGCTCTTCTACTAAATATTTGATTGACTTTGGGTCAAGGGAGGTTGTGGCTCTCCCTTCCACTCGCAGTTTAAGCTGTTCAAATTTTCATAGGAGCTCTTTCTATCCATCTTCTAAAAACTCATTCTACATGAGCACAATGCGGGCAAAAAACAGGGGCTGTGTTTCTGAAATGGGAAAATAATGTGAGTGGTTTCTGTGGTTCTCCATAATATATGGTGTAGATAAAAATGCTGATGTACTCCTAATGATTGGAGGACTCTTTATTCGTCTGACTTTATGATATTTTGTCCTCTTTAAACTCTGCTTCAGGGGGGTTATATTTTACTTTTAGCGTTTCGGTTTGATTAATATTTTAACAAGACCGTCTTTTGCCAAATTGAGCTGAAGAAGTTATTCCGCAATGGCAGAGGGGAGTCATTCAATTTCCAATATCACTCACAAAGATACAGCGAGAAGCCAAAAGCTATTTAACACTCCTCAAAAAAACACATTTTGGT